TGATAAGTTTACATTTTCCCAAATCAATTCTTGGTGTACTATTGCTTTATCCGTTCTCCCATTGTTGTACATTGTCATAACAACCCTGTTAGGAAAAGCTATAACCCATAGCTTATATCCCATGGTGCAGAGACTATGCTATCATTATTACATTTACACACTCTCCAACAAAAACAAACAATTAGAAGAACAACTACATTATATGCTAAGTCACACGCTAGGGACCACTGCTCAGCAGCATCACTCATTATATCTCCTTTTGGGGTTGGAAGCAAAGCCTTAACCCTTCGTATGTGTGTTGATTAATTCACTAAAGTTCTTAATTGTACAAGCTATTACTACTTCTCAGAAGCTGATTTCAGAGGAATTTAATTTCTGCGTAAAGAAGAAAAGAGGAGAAAAACCACAAAACCTATGACCAAATGATTAAAGCAGCTATTATTGTTTTTGGTTATGCTTCTTTCTTCTTCGTTTATACCATTTCAGCACCATTTCTGCGACATTTGCAAAAGGCATAGATTCCAAGAATCAAATTCTTTTTAATAGACAATCCTCTAAACAAAAGAACATAAAACAGAACAAGCATGTGATGACCTGTCCCATATAATATTTTAAATTGAGATTTCATATAATTGAATATGATAATAGTGGTTCATAATTTATTCAAAGTTAACACTCAACCACGGCAATTCTTTATTTGGATTTTAGTATTTTAGATAAATCCTTTAAATTGATTAAAGTGGAGAAAAATTATTTTCAAGTTTCGTTTGATGAGGGTATTTTTAAATCTATAGCGGCTTCGCAATATATATATATATATAAAATTTAGAGGCTTGCTTTGAATTGGGTTTTACATTAGATATGGGATAAAGGATTGGAATAAGAATTCCTTTTTGTGGGTAAGACCCATGCATGGAAAGAATTGGGTTCTTTCTATGTAGAATTGAATAGAAGCGAGGAAATGAAAACTGAAATTAACAGTTAATGTATATAATATATGTCATTCATCAAGTGGGTTAAGTGCAAAAAAAACCCCAGATATATAGGGTTTGTGCAAAACTAGTCCCTACTTTTTGAAAATGTGCATGTTATTCCATAAAATTAAAAAAAGGTGCAAATAAGCCACTCTGACCACTTTTTGACAAAAACTAAATATGAAAACCCTATTTTACCCTTTTGATTCCCATTTTGCCCCTCATCCATATGTGCATATAACTCCCCCTATACCCATTTCCTGCCCCTCTCTCTCTCTCTCTAGGGTTAGAAAATGGTTAAGTGTGTCTCATACTGGTTTAAGTGGCTTATATATATATATTAATTCCTATACTGGTTTAACATGAGGAAATTAGCCCCCGCTTTCTTCCATGTATCATAATGAATGTCAATTGTATTAATATACTGTTCTTCATGTTTTATAGAAACTAGAATGCTCTTGAATCTTTATTGACTCCATTTTGTTCCATTTTTTCCTTGCCTTTTTTAGGAGGAGATGACTTCTATTAAGGCTGCTAGCAAGGCGTGGTACAAAACAATGATCTTAGAAAGTGATTATACCGAGTTTGATAACTTCACCAAGTGGTTGGGTGTTTCCCAGTGACTTGGTTTATCTTAGGATATATTTATCAGTTTTGGGTGTCATCTTTTTGACTTTAAATGGGATGGGAATTACTAGGATAACAGTTTCTTTGCCTAGCGTGTCGAAATATTTAGAGTTGTAGCTTATTGTTGTCGAAATTTCTGAAGGATTTTCCCCTTTTTTTTTCTTGTTAAAACATAACTAAATCAAATATTTAGAGTTGTGGCTTATTGTTTTCGAATGGATTATTTAATATTTTAAGGTTAATTGATTGGCTTCACAGGGTTCATTGTACGACTTCAGTTGCATTGATGCACATCTATGACTCCTATATTTAGATGTATGTATATTTGTCCTGATTTTTCTCAGTTATGGTTCCCTGTATTTCTCTTATTCTGTTCGAATCTGATTCCAGTTTGCTGATTACTAGGATGGGGAATGTTTGGTTTAGGTTTTTATTATATCTAGTTTTAGGTTTTTTTTATTTAGCTTATCCCAATTTTATATAAATTGAGGTTTATTTTATTCTTATCCCAAACAAACATAATTTTACACAAATTGGACAAAAGGGTCATTTTCAACTGAAGTGAGGGTATTATCGTCATTTTATACCACACAAGGTATTTTCGTCGTTTTATATCACACAGGATCTATTTGCACCAAATTGATAGTATAGGGGGGTTTTAGACCTTTTTGCACTATATCAATAGTAGAGGGGTTTTTTTGCACTTGACCCTTCATCAAATATATACACACACATACAAAATATGTCTTATTAAAAAGAAATCAACATTGATATGATCAATCGAAGTCTTTAGACTATAGGAAACTGTTGAGTTATAGACCCATAAGGGTTTAGATTCTATACCAACAAATTTAAACAACCAAAACAAAGAAAAAATAAAAAAAGAATTGAATTATGGGCAAGGAAGCTCAAACATTGTTAATTTGTTATATTAGTTTAGTCAGGCAAATGATATGTGCATCATCAACCAGCAATTGGTGATACAAGTGTAAGAACCATAAATTTCAGTATTGTGTGGCATGAATATCTATATATATATACACACACACACACACACACACACACACATATACTGTAACTAAAAAGACGAGAGGAAAGAGATGATGGAATTAGAGATACCACAAGTTCTACAACATCCAAAGCAGACTGTTTGGCTTTGAGACCCGCGACGCCGATCTGCAGACAATGGCGGAGGGCCGATTCTCGTGGCTCCCGCCGTTCCGGAGGTAGAGTCCGTGGTATGTCGCCGGCGCCACCGTGCAAGGCAATTGCCCACCCCATTCCTACTCTCTCACTCCACTGAAGAGAGGGAATTGATCCCCTCTTTGTCGCGCGCACACACTCTCCTAGTTGTTGGGCTTGGCCAATTCGAATCACTTCGCTCAGGTGATTCCCTTCTTGTTGGCTCGTAGTAGTTGTCACGAGGAATATGTTATTTTCCCGCATTTCACGGGTGCAATTTGGGGAGGTATTATTATTATTATTATTATATATATATATATATATATATATATATATATATATATATAGGGTAGTGATAGCGCTAGTTGTTTAGCTTCCAACACTATTATCAATAAAATAAAATGTCAAAAAAAACCCTTCTTGTGTTTTAATGAGTTTGTACTCTTGACTTTTTTTTTCGGGATTCTTCTTTTAACTCTCTATCTTAACAAAATTTAAGCAGATAATTAAAAATTGGGTAAAGTATACTAACACCCCCTGAAGTTTGGTATAAGGACACCCAGGTGAAAGTTATCTGTTTTTGGGACAATGACACCCCTTTAAAAAAATTACATCCAAACAAGGCCTTAAATCATATGAAAAGACAAAATTGCCCCTTAATTTTAAATTCAAATTTATTACAAAATATCATTACATGTCAAAATGACATAATTACCCCTCAAAATTTTAGCACCACAAATTAGCGCCAAGTGGCGCCAGATTAACAACAATCTAATCTTCTAACCACACACCAGATATACGGCTTCTCTCTCTGTGCGAATCATTTCTTCTCCGCTTCGTATCACCATCTCTGAAACCCTAGAATATTTCTTCTCCTCTTCGTATCACCATCTCTGCCTAAAACTCCAGTCACCATGATCATCTTAAAACCCTAATTCTGGAGGCTGATTTCGCGATCTCGTCAAGATCAACCAGTATCTTTATTCTGCTTTGGTCTCCACACATCTCGGGTTCTCTCTCAACACATTTTTATCTCTCTCTCTCTCTATATATATCTATATTAATCTATTCTTTCTTCTTTTTTTTCTAAATTATATTAATAAATTCGTGTGTGTATATATATATATATCTATATATCTTTGTTCTGCTTCTATTGCAACCTTGATATTTCTTGAAATCGTTTTGTTAATTTACAAAAAAAAAATATATGGGTTTTTTTTTCACAAAAATTTTGTTCCTGATTTATTAAAATATGGTGTTTTTTTTATGCGGTTTTGGTTTTCAGGTTTTCTAAATATGGGTTTTTTAAAAGAAATCTTTGTTTCCTGTTTCTAAATATGGGATTTTTTTTTTTTTTTGTAACAAAATCTTTGTTCTGTTTTCTAATTTTTTTTTTTGCTATCGAAATCTTTGCTCCTGTTTTCTAAATATAGGATTTTTTTTTCTAACGAAATCTTTGTTTCTGTTTTCTAAATATGAGATTTTTTTTTTTTTTTAAATGAAATCTTTGTTCCTGTTCTCTAAATATGGTTTTTTTTTTTTTTTTGGTAAAGAAATCTTTGATTATGTTTCTTTATTCGGTTTACAAGAAATTTTTCAAAAAAAAAATTGGGTTTTGTTCCTTTTTTTTGTAACGAAATCTTAGTTCTGTTTTCTAATTTTTTTTTTTTTTTTTTGCTATCGAAATCTTTGTTCTTGTTTTCTAAATATGGGATTTTTTTTAACGAAATCTTGGTTTCTGTTTTCTAAATATGGGATTTTTTTTTTTTTTTTGGTAAAGAAATCTTTGATCATGTTTCTTTATTCGGTTTACAAGAAAATTTTCAAAAAAAATATGGGGTTTTGTTCCCTTTTTTTTTTTAACCAAAATTTTGTTATTTTGAGAAATTATGGCAGAATGAAAACAAAAGGCTTTTTTTTTTACCAAAATTTTTGTTATTAATTCACACATGCTATAAGATTGCATGTTTCTGACTTTCTGCAACCATAGTGATTGATCTGTGAATGTTTATTGTATGACGGACTTTATGCAAAATTAGTGGTAATTTTGTGTCCCGCTCTGGTAGACATATACTGTGTCAATCACTTGGTTTGGTTCTTGTCTTAACAATGCCTATCCTATGCATGTTGTCTTTAGAGTTTTGATTAATTGCATGATATTCTCTGAGATAATATTGTATATCCTATGCATGTGTGAATTATTTTTCTCAGTTGCAGATGGCTAATGACAAAGTCCATGATCTCCTAGTTAAGTTTGGTAGTCACGTACATGTTGTGAAAGGGATACATCCAAATGGTTATCGTTTTTTGGAGTTGTACTCAACTGCTTATGCATTTGTGCTTAAACATGAATATAATCAGACTGGTTTAGCATTGAATATGTTTTATGAATTTTCTGAGGATAATGGCAGAATGAGATTAAATGGGGATGATGATCTTATCATAATGTTTGAAATGAACTCAGATGTTAAGGAGATAGATATAATTGTTGAGATTGGTGATAAGGATGATCTAATTGATTTAGACAATTATATGGACCCATTGGTACCTGAAAATCCTGTGGGGGAAGATGATAATGACTCTGAAAATAAAACTGATTACAGTTTCTCAGACAGTGATGATGAGGAGTGGAATGAGGGAGAATGGGGACATGATGAAGGACAAGAGGCACATGATTGGGCTAATATTGAATTAGAAATGGAAAGTCCTGATAACAGTTGTGGTGAATTATCTGATTATAGTGACACTGCTGATTTTATTGGAGAAAGTGATGATGAAAGACCAGTTAATGTGCATAAACACGTTAAGGGGATATTGTTCAAGTATGGTGATCATGGTGAGATTAAATTTGTGATGGATCATTTGTTTGATGACATTAAACATTTTAGGACTGTGTTAAAGGACTTTGCAGTTCAAAAGGGTTTTAAATTGGTGATGGTGAAGAATGAGAGGACTAGAGTAACTAGTAAGTGTGGGAACCTAGGTTGTGAATGGAGAATCCATGCATCTCTACAAGTAGATAATAGCACCTTTAAGGTTACTTCACTTGGTCCAGAACACACTTGCATTAGAACCACTAAGAACAAGGTGGTTACTTCTACATACATAGCAAACAAACTTGAAAAGGCATTCAGACATCAACCTGACATCAATTTAGATAAGTTGGAACAAGAAGTAAGAGATCAATTTAAGGTGGAAGTGAGTGAGAAATGCTTGAGGAGAGCTAAAAATAAAGCTTTACAAAGTAGTGATGGAACCCATTCAGCTTCGTATTCTAAACTGTGGCAATATGCAGCTGAGATTCAGAAAACAAATCCTGGGAGTTTGGTGTTTATAAAACATCCACAAGATGATGAACCAAGGTTTTTTAGGATGTTTATATCATTTGCATCAGTGTTAAATGGCTTCAGGGATGGCTGCAAACCATTTATTGGTCTAGATGGTTGTTTTTTGAAAGGCCCCTTTGGTGGTATTTTAATTACTGCAGTAGGGCTTGATGGGAATAATGGGTTATACCCATTTGCATATGCAGTAGTGGAGTCTGAAAGAAAAGAAAGTTGGAAATGGTTTTTGGAACACCTCCACAAAATCACAGGTGACACGTGTGGAAATATGGCTTGGGTAATTATGACTGATGGTCAAAAGGGCATACTTCCAGCTGTGGATGAAGTATATCCTTATGCTCTCAATAGGAGGTGTTGTAGGCATATTTATGCCAATTTTAGGACAATATATCCTGGGGTTAAGTATAGAAAACTGTTTTGGATGGCAGCTAGGGCCTATACTGAGTTGGAATTCAACAAAGCAATGATAAAGATACAAAGTAGCAGTCTACAAGCATGGCAGTGGTTGATGAATCATCCACTTGAAACATGGGCAAGACATAAGTTTGATGAGAGACAGAAATGTGATTTTTTGACAAATAATGCAGTTGAATCATTCAATTCATGGCTTAAGAGGGTGAGGGCAAAACCTATAACTGCTATGTTTGAGGGTATAAGAATGAAGATTATGAGCAAATTTTGCAAAAGGTTTCAAAAATCTGCTACTTGGGATAATTTTGCAGTCCCAAAAATCAGAAATAAATTAAACTTAGTTATTGAAAAGGCTAGCACATGTCAACTAAACTGGCCAGGTGGTGATATGTTTGAGGTGACAGAGGAAACTACAATGAAATATGTTGTCAATCTTCATAGCAGAACTTATGATTGCAGGGAATGGCAGATCAGTGGCTTACCATGTAAGCATGTAGCAGCATGTGTTACATGGAGAAGAGGGAATATTGAGGAGTATTGTCATGGATTCTTCAGTAGGTACACTTATGTTAAAGCATACAGAAATTTGATGTATCCCATGCACCATGAGAGCTTATGGGATAAAGTAGATAAGAAGGATTTGCTTCCCCTAGAACTAAAAAGGCCTATAGGCAGACCTAGAGTGGCAAGGAAAAGGGAAGCTGATGAACCACAGGCTAGTAAGAGGTCAACTGTTATTCATTGTAGCATATGCAAGGATACTGGGCACAACAAAAGGGGCTGTCAAAGGGCTCCAATTTAGAGCAAAGGAAAACAAGGATCAAGGAAAGGAAAGCATGGGTCAGGATCAACTTCAGCAACAAATAAAGGAAGGAAAGGTCAAGGAGCAAGGACAAGGAGTAAAATAGTTACAGCACAGGTAAACCTTGGTTATTTTAAATTTCCCTCTAAATGTGTTGGTTTTTTTTTATATTTTTTAATTTTACATTTGGAATTGTAGGTCAGTGGTTATTCACAACCCACTCAATCTAATGTAGTTGTAGGAACAACAACACAAGCCAGTCAGTTCAATGTAAGCATTACTCTTGGTTATTTTAAATTTTCCTCTAAATGTGTTGGTTTTTTTTATATTTTTTAATTGTACATTTGGAATTGTAGGTCAGTGGTTATTCACAACCCACTCAATCTAATGTAGTTGCAGGAACAACAACAGAAGCCAGTCAGTCCAATGTAAGCATTACTCTTGGTTATTTTAAATTTTCTTTTAAATGTGTTGGTTTTTTGTTTTTAATTGTACATTTGGAATTGCAGGTTAGTGGTTATACACAACCTACTCAATCTAGTGTGGTTACAGGAACAACAACACAGGCCAGTCAGTCCAATGTAAGCATTACTCTCTTCATTTTCTTTTTTTTGCATTTTTTTTTTTTAATTTCCTTACTAGGACCGTTGGACCTAAACAACATATATAATCACACAACTTATTGGTGATATCCAATTTTTATATGTTATATGATACCAAACAAAAACACAGGTCTAATAGACATGTTTTGCTTGCATATATTTATTAGTGCCTAGTTTGTTAACCCAATAAATTTATGTATCAGACATTTAAATCCAAAGAACCTCATATTAATCAACTGGAAATCAGGACACTAATGTGATTATATATGCAAATATTCTTTTTTGTAGGTGAGAAATTATACAGTGTCAAGTATAGCAGCAGCTACACCCTCCACCCAATCTAGTGGACCATCAGCAATTGACTGGCTATTTGGGATTTAGGTAACATGCTTTTTTGTTTTTGGGGACACTTGCTGGGACAAGTATTTTTGTAATGCCACTTATGACATAGACAACATAGTTGGGTTATTTAGTTTTCTGTTTTTGGGACACTTGCTGGGACAAGTATTTTTGTAATGGCACATATGACATAGATAACACAGTTGGGTTATTTGGTTTTCTGTTTTTGGGACACTTGCAGGGACAAGTATTTTTGTAATGCCATATATGACATGGACAACACAGTTGGGTTATTTGGTTTTTTGTTTTTGGGACACTTGCTGGAAAAGTATTTTTGTAATGCCGCATATGATATGGACATAACAGTTGGGTTATTTTTTGTTAGTTGGTTGACACTTGGTTGTTGGATGGTTGGTTGACACTTGAATGTTGGTTATGTAATGACAGATTATGTAAATTTTGGTTTCAAATGTTGGTTATGTAATGACTTGGTACAAGTTTATTATGGATTGTGGGATGTGGATGGCTACTTTTATGAAGTTAAATGTTGCTTATGTAATATGACTGTAATGACATGTAATTTTTGGTGTAATGTATTATTCTCCAATTTATTAATCTATTTTAGGATGTGTGTAACTTCTTTAGGAACTAACAGAGCATCCCATTGTTTCCATTATCCGAAAAAAAACCCAGGGGAATTGGAAATAACATATCATGTCTGCATTCTATTGTATTTATTGAAAGAGAAAACACGATAAAATTTATGTAAGAATACTCTTAAATAAAATTTGCATTATTAAATGTCTTTCGTACATTGCACCAAAAATTAATCTGTTTTATGGATATGTATCTATATATATATATATATATATATATATATATATATATATATATATATATATATATTTCATCTGTCTCATAAGGGTAGTTTAGTCCAAATTATTAACTTGCAAAGTTAAAAAAGTCAACTAAATAGTCAAAGGGTAATTTGGTCAATTTTTTATGTTAGTTGGCTTCAAGGGGTATCTTTGTCCACTTTTCAATCTTTAAGGGGTGTCATTGTCCAAAAAGCAAGTAACTTTCACCTGAGTGTCCTTATGCCAAACCTCAGGGGGTCTTAGTGTACTTTACCCTTATTCGTGTCATTTGTTAATGAGTCGTTTTACCCTATGAATAAATACTCTACCTATTATTTTACCAAGTTTATGCAGTTACTTATGTATCTTGTGTATCAAATATAATGGAATCTATTTTAAAATATAAAGTAATTAACTATTTGAAAAGTTGTAATCCCTTCTCTACGTTTCATCTTAATGTAACATTTTTGTTGGGAATCAAAATTTCAATCATCATGTATATCAAATTATATATGTGTTATATATATATCACATTGCATCTCTCTAAGAACTGTTGAGATACTTAAGATTGCATATCCTATGTATAATTAGATAATGTATCTCTCGTTGTATATAAAAGATTGTATATTTGATCATTAATATACACCTATTACTTTGATAGGTTGTTGACCTTAAGAATTTCATTCAAGAACAATCTAGTTGTTTTGATGATAACAAACCATTAATGGTGTTTAAGGACTAATATTCACTTTGAGTGTTATAGATGATTTACATTCAAAAAAGAACTTCAATAAAGATCATAAAGACCATTCCAAGAATTTAATTACTCAAAATCACATCTATGGAAAGCAAAGGACACAAAGAAGACATGAAGTTGCAAGGAAACCAAATGCAAAGTCCATCAAAAAATAGCTTGGACAAAAATGAGCAAGAAAGCAACTCAAAGAAAGGAAGAAAGTAAGAATACCTCAAAACCTGTAATGACCTGGTCATTTTCCTTCATTTCCTTTTTTCAGATTTTCACGGATATTTTTTTTTTTCCGTTGATCTTTTCCTTTCTGAGTTCGGTTTCTCGTCACTTAGTGTTATCTTGAGTGCTCGGGAATGATTTTCGATGCATCCACGATATTTAAATTCCATACTATGTGTATTTTTACTTTTGTAGAAAGCATGCTAGTTGTGTACTTTATTCCTTAAGGGTGTGGATGCACACTTCTTTTTTATGAATAATTATTTGTGTAATTACTATAAGTAATTATTTTTCGTCTTAGGGAACATTTTGCAATTTTATTTGGAAGATATTTTCAAAAATGACCTTTTTGCAATTTTTGAAAAGTGTGACAAGTGTCACACTCTCATTGGTCCACTTGTTGATATTTGTGTGGGGACACTTTGATGCCTTAGATGGTTGACAAGTGTCGGCTTAGGATTAAGCCTACAATGGATGCTTGGATGAGTAACAAGTGTATGCTCCAAATTAAGTCTTACAATTATTTTTTGGGCTATTTTGGAATTATGTTGTTAAAGAAGGGTTTTTATGCAATTGACCATAGATGTGTGTATTGACCATGGTGTAGGATCACATAGTGAGTGGAGGATTTCTATTTCCTCCACTCACACTTTTTCACATTATGTCATTATCTTCCTCCCCACAAACCCTAGCCTCCATGAATGAAGTTTAAAGCTTTAAGCTTTGACTTTGATTTTTGAGAGTCTTACATTGATTTCCAAGCTTAAACTTGGGAATACTTTTTATTCCCCTCATCCTCCTCTACATAATCCTTGAAGGGTTTGTCATTTTGTATTGATTTGCCCTGGATTCTAGAGAGACACTTCTCTAGTGAGGTAGGGGGTGTTATAGTTTATTTTCTAAGTGGTTTTAATTGCTTCTGTAGTGAAATACAAGTTGTTTGCATGTTTAATATCAATTTGAGAAATAAATGATTTATCGTAACTTGCATATAACTCACTTTAAACTTGATATATGGCATGATCATGACTTGATCTTTATTGTATATTAATTTGGAGTGATTTAAATAAGTTTTCAAATATAGAGATTTAATGAATTTAAATTGATTTAAATTCTACTAAATTGTACCTTGTATTCCATTTTTGACTTGATATATGGCATGGTCATGACTTAATCTTTGTTATATATTTATTTGGGGTCATTTGAACAACTTTTGAAAAATTAGAGATTTAATTAATTTAAATTAATTAAAATCTACATGATGATGTCTTACTCATTTTACTCTTTTGATTTGATATATGTAATAAGCATGTTATGTTGTTTAACATATATTAATTTGAGGTTATTTGGAATTAATTTAAAATCTAGTGACTTTTCATGTTAGGTTAATAGTCTCTTGAAATGTAATATGTTTAATTACCTTGTGAGCATGCTACTAACTTGTTGTAGAATTAGTACTTATGGTCTCTTAAGATGGTAATTTAGCATGATAGATGATATCACTGTCTTGAATAGCTTGTTTAAATATATCTTGTGTAGGTTTATAGCTTGTTTAGAATATTACAATTGATTACGTTGAAAGCTTGTTACTAAATTGAAACTTATTTAATACTTATGGCTTAGGATGGTAATGTGGCTCAATTGTTGTAAAATATTCTTACTTTGTGTATAAATTGCATATTGAGGACATGACTTGTCATATGCTATTTAGACTTGAATCCTAGGATATGAATTGTGTGGATTCAAACTTACTTATGTATGGAATATGGTAACTTGCATTTGATTTTGTATAAGTTTTGAACTTATTGATTTTGGAAAGCTTGTGAGAACATAAATTATGTGATGGCTGGGGTTGGCTCTAGTACGGAGATAAGAGTCTTCTAAGTCATAAGTGCGCACTAAGTGGTACCTTATAGGTTGTAATTACCCGAAAATACGTGCTTAGTCTAGAGACCGCATGTCCTAGTCTTTCCACTATTTGATTTCACATTTAATTTCAAGTTGTTAATCATGGATTACCTGTAGCTTGAGAATTAATGCTTACTTGGATATTTGAATCCTATTCAGTATACTTGAACTTGTATACTTGCTCCATGAGTTTAAATTTCATTTAGTATACTTGTGCTATGTATACTTGTCACATGCGCAATCCTATTAGTTTAGTATACTTGTATTTATGTACTTGATTTGCGAGTTTTTCATATTAAATGTATACTTGAGTAGATATGCTTG